GTCGGACTCTTCGATATATACACTGCCCAGGCATTTCCGCACCTGCGGTGCCTGGGCTCGCACTTGCGAGCTCGCATCTGCGAGAAAAATCTCGCATCTGCGGAAAAGGGGCTGCCAGGCGAGGTTCCTCATATGCGGGAAAAATGTCGCACCTGCGACGTCCGCTTCTGCGCAAAAGGGCCGCATCTGTGATCGAATGCTCGCTTCTGCGAGCTCGCACCTGCGGTCAAAAATCCGCAGGTGCGATTATCACAGAAGGCAAAAATACAGATTTTGCTTAAGTCGAATTCTTGATCCGATTTCAATCCGTTTCACTCTCGGGGTACTCGGGACCCAGTCCGAATATACCAACAAGTCCCGTAACATAATACGGACTGACTCGGGGTCTAAAATCACGTCAAACAACACTGAATTTACAATTCACACCCCGATTCGAACTTCGAGTTTTAAACTTTCAATTTGCAAATCTCGTGCCAAAACATATTAAATGAATTCAGAATGACTTCAAATTTGGCACACAAGTCATAAATGACATAACGGAGCTGTTCAAATTTCCAGAATCGGATTCCGGCTCCGATATCAAAAAGTGAACCCCGCGGTCAAACTTGGAATATTTAGCCTTTAAATTGCTAGTTCGGTTAAATGGTCATAACTTGAGATAGGGACCTCCAAATTAAATTTCGGGCATACGCCCAAGTCCCAAATCACGATACGAAGCTACTGGAACTGTCAAAACACTGACTCGGGTCCGTTTGCTAAAAATGTTGACCAAAGTCAACTCAGTTGAGTTTTAAAGCTCTATTTTCCATTTTAATCCATTTTTCACATAAAAACTTTCTGGAAAAATGTACGGACTGCGCACGCAAGTTGAGGAATGATAAATGGTGTTTTTCGAGGTCTTAGAAAACAAAATTACTTATTAATTTTAAAGATGACATTTTGGGTCATCACACCTAGTGTGCCCGCACATCTACCGCAACATTCTCATTTCTGCTACTTTCATCTTTTGGATATGTGAGTTCTTAACGGGCCAACACTCAGCCCCATACATCATGGTCGGTCTAACCACCCCTTTATAAAACTTACCTTTGAGTATCGGTGGCACTCTTTTGTCACACAGGACTCCAGATGCTAACCTCCACTTCATTCATCCTACCCCAATACGGTGTGTGACATCCTCGTTGATCTCCCCTCCCCCCTGGATAACCGAACCAAGATACTTGAAGCTGCCTCTACTCGGGATGACCTGCGAATCAAGCCTTACATCCACGCCCATTTCCCCTGGCTCAGCGCCATTGACATGACATCTATGAAAATAAAGGTTCTATTGGCATAATGACATCAAAACTTTCAGTAATTTTAGTGATAGAAGGTTGCTTTTGGAAGTCCAAGGATTAAGCTCCCATGAAAATTGAATTCACTGGATGACCAAATTTACTCCACTAGCTTCTTAAAATAAGTTTAAAATCATGTAGAGTTTCTTTACATGTATTGATCAAATACCCTAAAAATAGCCTCTACTTAATGATTTTCTGAAGATCTCAGTTTCAAATAGGAAAACCATTCTTAGCTTTGTTTTTTTTCCTCTCCTTTTTTTGGGTGAAATCGATCCGAACTAGGCATCTAATGTTTTTGAGATCTCTTCCTTCAAGGATTACATACATTATTCTTTGTGAATGCGAGTATCTTTTGGATCAGGAGATTTGGACAGATCAGGTCTGAACTTTATCTGCTTTATATTGTAGGACGAAAAAAGTTGATCCTTTCACCTCCAGACTACTAGAAATCCACTCCAAGATGCTAAAAATCAATAAGAAAGAGGTACAGTTTGATCATGCATACATATTTAATTTTCGTAATGCGTGTACTGCATTTGTAAGCTCTTTATATATTGACATTTCTTTTCAACTTCTTTAGTTTTCTCAGTTGAGTCTAAAGCATAAACTGACGAAGTCAAGTTTCCTAGTTCTGTGGGGTTGTTGCGTGATTTTGATATTCCTAATACTAGATATCAATCACCATAATTTTGTTTGGATCCTATATCATTGAGATGGTGTTCTCCGATTGTGCTTTAGTAAAAAGATTCTCCTTGGCCCTTGCTGCTTCAGATGTTGATTCTCTCATATTTGATCATCAGGAGAGGAAAGGTTGTCTTGTATTTTCTCTGTCTTTATAAGAAGGGGAATGCTTTGTAATTATGTGCCTAAATCTACTTTTCTTAGTTGTAGTCAGACTGTCAGTATTTTGTTATTTCTTTGGTTTTAGGGGATGATTTACCATTTGATACGACATTAATGTAGGAAATACGCTTGGGGTTGCATCGCTCAGACTATATGCTGGATGAGCAAACTAAATTACTTCTGCAAATAGAGCTTAACACTATTTCATCATCATTTTCGGGGCTAGGTTGTCTTGTCAGTGAGCTTCACAGGTAAAATTAGTTTATGTTAACTTTCATGGTAAACTTTTCATTTTTGAAATTATGAAATGCTATCTTAATATTCTAATCCAGAACTTTTATTGTAATTTTATCAAGTTGTTTGCTGTTTTCATTTTTTTAGAGGATGAAATCGTTGTTGTATTCATGTGTGAATGCTCAAAAAGATACTTCAGAATTTCAGATCATATTGCTAACTCTTTCTCCTCTGAAACTCATATGGAACTGGATCTCAACTGTCATTTGCAGGAGCTTGCTTCATCAATACAGAGAACGCATTGCATTAAATCCTAACAAAATTCCCACAAACAATTCCGTAAATCAATTTGCGGAAGCACTGGCTAAAGCTTGGAATGAATATGGTGATCCAAGGTCGATTTGATTCGAGGGATGTTTAGTTTCTTATGCTACAATGAAATAACTTTGAAGTTACACTAACTTAAATACGTAATGCAGGGCTGTAGTTATGTTTGTGGTTCAAGCTGAAGAGCGCAACATGTACGATCAGCATTGGCTTTCGGCTTCACTGAGAGAAAAATATCCTACTTTACGTGATGGATTTGTATTTGATGTGCATATCATAATAAGAGGAAATGGCCATACTTAAGACAGTTAGAATTATATTGGTTTGAAATATAACAAGATATGGATTGGTAGTACATCTGTCATGGTTTTTGCTTGTAAATTGTCCTGGAAATATTTCCTTAGCTTTTAACACACATCAAGTTACAACTACCAGAAAGACGCTAGCGGAAATTGATGCACATGGAGAGCTTCTAGAAGATGGTACCCTCGTTGTGTATGTCGCTTTTTAGTAAAGTACATTTCAATGTTAAAGTTATTGAATTTGCAGTTTCTATATGAGAAGCTTAAAATCTTAGGATTGCAGAGATGGTGAAGCAGTGGCAGTCATTTATTTTAGAGCTGGCTATGCACCAAGTGACTATCACGCGGAATCTGTAAGTCAACTTTTTTTCTGCTTGGCATTCTGGTTTGCTTTATGCTGCTGATGTCATTCTTTTGAATTCCCATGCTCCACCAAGCAATCTTAAACACCTTTTGCTGAATCGTACGTGCAAAACTTCACTCTTTGCTGACTGTTATTATCTATCCAGACACAATTTTGTGCACATGGCTCGATTCATTTATTGAGTCCCTAAATACCTTAAGCAAAAATGGAAAGAAAAATAGTTCCAAGGGGAAATCGGTAGTGAAACTAGTGAGCATGGTGTCCCGGGTGTACGGTGGATCAGGTTGGCTCCCTCAAATGAGTTTGAAGTAACGAAAAACTTTCCGTGGATGTTGTGCACGTTTCGCTTACTGTTTGATTGTATACACTGTAATATGCGTGTATAAGCTCTGAACTTTTCTATTGAAAATCAGCTTTTGGAGGATCAAACTTTGTGACAGGCTGTCTACCCATTTTATAAGGCATATTTTGCATCAGGATAAAAGGTTAAATAAGGAGAGTGAGGGCAAAATGGGAAGACCTGGGGGGACGATGAATGAGCACATGGTGGAGTGTGTTGAGTGGAAGGGTGGAAAGGAGAGACGGAGCTACGATTTGAAGTTTATGAATTCCGAACTTATCACTGAACCCATAGTTTGTCTTAGTTACTGGGTTCGCAATTAAATATTTATACATATTTTATGAATTTTTTAATACAAATACAAGGTTTAAGCAAAAGCTACTGGGGTTTAAGCTAGTGATGAAGATTGAGTGTAGAAGGAAGACAGAAGACAGTAGACTTCTGTCCTTTAGTTGAGGATGGAGAGGTCTAGTTGTTTGACATTGAAACGCAAGGGGTTAAATGCAACTCAGGGTAAGATAACTATAAATATATGTTCCCATCGTTTTCAAGGAACAGTTAAAGAGGCAGTCTGTGGTTCTTTTAGTGAAGGTGTTATGCATATCTACTTTCTGCAAAATCTTCTGAGACATCTCTAATTTGACTGTGTGTGTGTGCATGAGCACCATTTTAATATCTGATTTTTAAATTTTTAAATATTTGGAGGTTGAGCTGGGTTTGGTTCATAATTACTTTTCAATTTTGGGACTGTGAAAGTGATCACAAACAGAGAGATGATCCATTTTACTATTGCATCTCAATGTGATTCAACAGTTTCAACTTATGCATGCACTTAACAATAACCTAACGGTCTTTCTTGATCTGTTTTATGCAACTCTTTTTATCATAGGAATGGAGTGCTAGGCTTCTGATGGAGCAGTCACGTGCAGTCAAGTGCCCGTCAATTTCCTATCATTTAGCTGGGACCAAGAAGATTCAGCAAGAGCTTGCAAAACCCAATGTACTAGAAAGGTAAAATTTAATTCAAGTTGTGTCTCTTGTGATTTGTTGATAAGGTTAATAGCTGTCTATAGGTAGTCTTTGAAGTTGAGACTGGATTATTTTTGGTGTATTCCCTCTTCCTCTCCTTTATGGGTCCTGGAAACTGGAAAGGCAAAACTCAATGCATTTAGTGATTCATAAATTGATAAAGATGAGTATTGACATTCCGTGCACCCTTTCTCTGTGGAGTAAAGGGAAAGCAAAAAAATAAACATAGGAAGGGAAAAATATAGTATAAAATTCCAGACAGGGTATTAGAAAGAAAATGAAATAATAACTCTATGTATACTTTGTAAGTTGAGAGCATTAATTGATGTGATTATGCAATCACTTGTAACTCATGAGAAATTAACTGCTTGGAACAGCCATATGTATAATCTGTTAAACTTTCGTCCTTGTTTATGAGCAGGTTTCTTGAAAACAAAGAGGCCATTGCCAAACTACGAAAATGCTTTGCAGGCTTGTGGAGTTTGGATGAATCCAACACAGTCAAGGATGCAATTGAGAGACCCGGCTTGTACGTAATGAAACCGCAACGAGAAGGAGGAGGTCTTGCTCATGAAATTGCTTCTATGTATATTGTAATAGTAATTTTTATCAAAATGTCTGACATTAGATCATCTCACCTCAGGAAACAATATCTATGGGGAAGATGTGAGGGAAGCTCTTCTGAAACTGCAGAAGGAAGGCACTGGAAGTGATGCGTTTATACTAATGCAGAGGATTTTTCCAACCGTTTCTCACTCGATACTAATGCGAGAAGGCATCCCTCATAAGGAACAAACCATATCAGAACTTGGGATATATGGAACTTATTTAAGGTAAATAGTGAATGTCTCGTATTGCTTATCCTCACAACCCCTCCCNTCCTGAGCCACTGTCCAGTCCTGCTTTCAGCTTATGGTTGACTCATAATGTTAAATAGGGCGCAGTTTCTTTATAAAAAGATTGGCCAAGAATGATGAATATTTTTTAAACCAGAATTTTACAACCATTCTTGTCCTCCAGTGCCTTGTTTTGATATGTACTTCATATGCAGGAACAAAACGGAAGTTCTAATCAACCAACAGGCTGGTTACTTGATGAGAACAAAGGTCTCTTCGTCAAATGAGGGTGGGGTTGCAGCTGGTTTTGCAGTGTTGGACAGTATATACTTGGTTTGATGAGATTGGCTCTTGCATTGTTACTGGGGTTGAATGCGGAGGCTGCATCAGTCTTTCCTACATTACCTTGGAACACACCAGTCTTATAGCGCTTGTTCAACCTTGTATTTTTCTTGTTTAATCTTAAATAAATAGAGCTCCATATTTTTTCTGAAGGAAGTGGACACAAGATTGATAATAGATCCAAAGTTCTTGATCGTAAACACAATTCAGTGCTCTCTTTGTTTATGCAAGGGCTTTACTTATCTGCTACAAGCTGATCACTGAATTTGAACGTATGATTTGTTGCACATCACTCGTGTTATTTACATTTGTTTTTACTACCATGATTAAGTGATAAATTTATGTGAGAATGCGTATTGATTAAATATGATTTAGTTATAATAGTGTATTTAAGAAACATTTTACCGTATGTAATTATTAAGTTGGACCAAGTGAAGTGTATCAAGGACGAAAAAGGTAGAGTTTTGTTGGATGAGGAGCTTATACGTCGGAGATGGCAGACCTACTTCCATAGTCTCTTGAACGAGGAGGGGGACAAGAGCATTGTACTAGGTGATTTGGAACTCTCCGAGAGTCGTTGTGACTTTGGGTATTGTAGGCGGATTAGAGTGGATGAAGTTGATGGGGCTATGCGTAAGATGAGCAGGGGCAAAGCGACCGGGTCGGATGAAATCCCGGTGGAGTTTTGGATGTGTGCGGGCAAGGCAGGCTTGGATTGGCTCACTAGGTTACTTAATGTTATTTTTAGAATGAAAAAGATGCCCGAAGAGTGGAAGTGGAGCACGATGGTTCCTGTATACAAAAACAAGGGTGATATCCAAAATTGCAATAACTATCAGGGTATCAAGCTGTTTAGCGATACTATGAAAGTCTGGGAGAGAGTGGTAGAGCTAAGGGTGACGAGGAGTGTGTATATTTTCGAGAACCAGTTTGGGTTTATGCCGAGGTGTTCGACTACATAAGCCATCCACCTTGTTAGGAGATTGATGGAGCAGTATAGGGAGTGAAAGAAGGACTTGCATATGGTGATCATCGACTTAGAAAAGACGTACGATAAAGTTCTGAGAGATGTAGAGATGTTTGGAGGCTAGAGGTATACCTGTTGCCTACGTTAGGTTGATTAAGGACATGTATGATGTGGTAAAGACCCGAGTGAGGACGGTGGGTGGGGACTCGGACCATTTTCCGGTTATGATGGGGTTGCATTAGGGGTCGGCACTCAGTCCTTTTTTGTTTGCTCTGGTGATGGAGGTACTAACGCGCCACATCCAAGGGGAGGTGCCGTGGTGCATGCTATTTGCAGATGATATTGTATTGATTGACGAGACGCGAGACGGTGTAAATGCGCAGTTAGAGGTATGGAGGCAAACCCTGGAATCTAAAGGTTTCAAGTTGAGCAGGACCAAGACAAAATACTTGGAGTGTAAGTTCAGTGGCGGGACTCAAGGAGGGGAAGGGGAGGTGTGGCTGGAATCACAGGTCATCCCTAGGAGAGGGAGTTTTAAGTACCTTGGGTCTATTATTCAGGGGGATGAGGAGATTAATGAAGATGTCACACATCGCATTGCGGTGGGATGGATGAAATGAAGACTCGCTTCCGGTGTTTTGTGTGACAAGAAGGTGCCACCGAAACTTAAGGGTAAGTTCTACAGAGTGGTGGTCAGACCTACAATGTTGTATGAGGCTGAGTGTTGGCTAGTCAAGATCGCGCATGTCCAGAAGATGAAGGTAGCGGAGATGAAGATGTTGAGATGGATGTGCGGGCACACCAGGTTAGATAGGATCAGAAATGTGGTTATTCGCGACAAGATGGATGTGGCCCCTATTGAGGACAAGATGTGGGAAGCGCGATTTAGGTGGTTTGGGCATGTGAAGAGGAGGAGCACAGACGCCCAGGTGAGGAGGTGTGAGAGGTTGACATTGGAGGGCCTACGGAGAGGTAGAGTTAGGCCAAATAAGAGGTGGGGAGAGGTGATTAGACAAGACATGACACAACTTCAGTTGACCGAGGACATGACCCTTGATAGAAAGGTATGGAGGTCGAGGATTAGGGTAGTAGAGTAGGTAGTCTAGAGTGTTCATAACAATAGTATTTGCATGCAGTCTCGCTTTCTGTTGGTAGTAGGTTTTTATGACTAGCCGTTGTTTTCTTTCATTGTTGATCACATTACTGTCTTGTTGTTTCTATTCTGCTTTTGGTATTGTCCTTTCTTGTGTATTTTTTTCATTAATGTGGTGCTGTGCTTTCCTGAGCCGAGGGTCTATTGGAAACAACCTTTCTATCCTTAAAGGTAGGGGTAAAGTCTGTGTACACACTACCCTCCCAAACCCCACGGTGTTATTGTTGTTGTAATTATTAAGTTGGTATATCGCACAGTTTATTTCTCAAATATCATTCCATTACTGGACTCTCGAAAGTGCAATATGTACTGTTACACGGCGCCTTCCTGAAGTTCCTTGGAAGGGCGACGTAAGGCTAAGCAACCGATGTTAGTACGGTTGCCGTCCGCCAACTGAGGTCCCCTCCGTACGCTAGACTAGCGTACGGCGAGGACCTCAGTTGGCGCATAGCAACCGCACTGACATCGGTTGCTTAGCCT